AGACAGGATCAGGCTCTGTCACTCAGGCTGGAGTACAGTGGCGCGATCACAGCTCACTGCAACCTCTGCCTCCTGGGCACAGGTGATCCTTCTACCTCAGCCTCCCTAGTAGCTGAGACTACAGGCACACATCACCACACCCAGCTAATGTTTGTATTTTTTGTAGTGACAGTTTCGCCGTGTTGCCCAGGCTGGTCTCGAACTCCTGGGCTCAAGTGATCCTCCTGCCTCCACCTCCCAAAGTGCTGGGATTATAGGCGTGAACCACCACACTCTGCCCAATATTTTTAATGACCATCAAGAAACAGTATCTATAATTTTGCTCCCCTATAATTTTGCTTGCTACAGAAAATCTTTAGCAAGATTTTCTTTCTCCTCTGCCTTATACCTCACTTCTACTTTTGTTGTGATTTAGTTCAAGATTGTTACTCATCTTTCTTATTATGTCTCTTCTAAGAATCTTTTCTGACAAATTGCACTAAACATAAAAACCACTATCAACAACTATTTAACCTATACAGCTGTAAACGTTGTCAGTTTCTTTTTCTTTTTTTATTTTTATTTTTTTGAGACAGAGTCTTGCTCTTGTCACCTAGGCTGGAATGGCACAGTCTTGGCTCACTGCAACCTCCGCCTCCTGGCTTCAAGCAATTCTCCTGCCTCAGCCTCCCGAGTAGCTGGAATTACAGGCGCTTGCCACCACACCCGACTAATTTTTGTATTTTTAGTAGAGATGGTGTTTCGCCATGTTGGCCAGGCTAGTCTCAGACTCCTGACCTCATGATCTGCCTGCCTCGGCCTCCCAAAGTGCTGGAATTATAGGCATGAGCCACCGTGCCTGGTATTTGTTTGAGACAGTCTTGCTGTGTCATCAGGCTGGAGTGCAGTGGCATGATGTTGGCTCACTGCAACCTCCGACTCCCTGGTTCAAGCGATTCTTCTGCCTCAGCCTCCCAAGTAGCTGGAATTACAGGCAGGTGCCACCACATCCAGCTAATTTTTGTATTTTTAGTAGAGACAGAGTTTCACCATGTTGGCCAGGATGGTCCCTATCTCCTGGCCTCATGATCTGCCCGCCTCTGCCTCCCAAAGTGCTGGGATTACAGGCGTGAGCCACTGCACCCAGCCTACTCATCACTGTTTCTTATATATCACCCCTGCCCTTTTTTGAGCTTTTTATTGTAATTCATCTGTAATTTTGCTACAGTGCTTCCTTAAGGGGAAAAAAAAAAAATCTCTGTTGATAGATGGTTTGCACTCCCTCAAAACTTGTGTCAGTTACTGGGCTATTCAGTTTCTTCTGAGCTAGGCCTCCCACCCCAAGGCTGCAGCATTCTGCTGGCCGGCTTCACCCTGAGTATGATGAGTAGCCATGGAACTGGCTGACAAGCTAAGACCCTGCTGGAACAAGAAAGCAAGGGAAGTAGTGGAGGCTTAAGGGACTTTGCTGATGTGATTTGACTGTTGTGCTGAGTCTTTCTCTTTTTGTCCCCAGTTCTCTCTCTTCTTGTTTGTTGTAGTTGCCTAAAATTAGTTGGATCTCAGCTAGCCAATCTCTCTGGCTGCCTAGGTAAATTGCAATTTCAAAGAGAGTCAAGCATACCAGTGTAAAATTATCCTTTTTCCCTAAAACAGTAAACCCTGCTCCACTGTCATTTTGTATCTACTGCTGCATATGAGAAAACATGAAAAGTTATGAGTTTCTTTTTATCTTTGGAATACGGAAAAGTCACCAGATTCACTTGGAATTCTCTTCATTCCTCTCTTTCTCACACCCCACCACCTTCTACCTATCAGTAAATCTTGTTAGTTCTACCTTCAATATGGAGGTCAGGCATGGTGGCTTATACCTGTAATGCCAACACTTTGGGATGCCAAGGTGGGAGGATCGCCTGAGCCCAGGAGTTTGAGACCAGCCTGGGCAACATGGTGATACCCTCATCTTATATAGCTGAAAGAACACTTAATGGGCCATAGGCACGTGAAAGATGGTTTCATTCAGCAGCTCTCTTACACTGTGTGTCTCTGTCTCAGCTACCTCTTCTGGCTCTGTGACTTCTGCCACTCCCACACACAGCTGCACAGCCAGCTTTCCCTACAGGTCAGCAGCTTAACACTTTCTCTGGGCACAAGCATGCCTGTACAGCATCAGCAGGGCAGTTATACCTTTTACAGACAATAGTGGCTCCAAGCCAAGTGATGAGCCTTCCCATGTTATGGCTATGTAGCTGTGATTATATAACAAGTAAAGTTATGCACCTGCACTCCAAACTTGCTGAGTCATGCAGGATGTTTACCTTGGCCCATGCCTCCCTTGCTGCATTGCAGCCATGTTCCTTACACGGGAGGATCCCTTGAGCCCAGGAGTTTGAGGCCAGTCCAGGGAACATAGCAGAATCCTGTCGCTTAAAAAAAAAAAAAAAATTAAAATATTTTTAAAATTTAGGAAGCTACTAGGGATGGAATCCTCCAAAATAAGAAGCAAACCAAGAAGGAGGAAAAATATGACACAAAATGAAGGGTACAACCAAAAGAGAGGTATAAAGTAAACCACTAGGATGGTGGTAAAGGGAGATACCAATGAGACAGTGGTATAGGCTTAGAGAGGAACGAATACAGATTGGAGCAGGCCAGAAGGGTCTGGAATAGATTTCCAAAGAAAGAGTCAATTAATAGATTACGATTGCTAGAAAAACACTTGTTAGATCCCGGTGTCTGGGTCCAGCCATGCTGAAGTCCGAGGGGAGTGGGTAGGTGAGCAGAAAGAACACTTGATGGGCTGTAGGCAGGTGAATATGGTTTTATTTAGCAGCAGCTGTCTTACATGGTTTACTCAAACTAGCTCTTCTACATTGTCCACCCTGTCTCGGCTGCTTAGTCTGGTGGCTCCCACATACCTGTGCAGCCAGCTCTCCCTTGTCTTCAGGGTCAGCAGCTTAACTCTTTTTCTCTCTAGGCTTGAGCAAGCCAAGCTGTGTCCTGGCTCCCTCCTGTCCATCTGTAAAATAGACAGCTTTGGCTCTCTCTCTTTCTCTGGGTACCAGTGTGTCCTCCATGTCAAGCCATGTTGAGCTGAGCCAAGCCCCCAGATCCCCTGTACAGCATTAGCAGGGCAGACAATAGTGGCTCAGAGCCAAGTATGAACTTACACAAATAGGTTATATAACAAGTGGACGTGTGCGCCTATGCACCAAACTCACTGAGTTACACAGGGCTTGGATATCCACCTCGGCCTATTCCTTGGCCAAAGCACATCCATATGTACCTTACACTCCACCCCCTAGGCTGAGGGAGACATAGGCCTTGGACACACAGGTTTGATACACAGGTTTGGCACACAGGCCTGACATATAAACTTTGGGCATGCAGGTCTGATACATATACAGGCTTGACACATAAGCCTGACACACAAGCCTTGGGCACACAAGCCCAATACATACATAAGCTTCTGGGCATGCAGGCCCCTTGCATACATAAGCTATGATAAACTGCCCAGCTATTGGCGCAGATTACCTTAGGTGTCACCTCCTTGGTGATTACCATTCACATTGCCTTAACTTTAACTTATTAACTACTTTGCCCATACCTGCTTTCAAACCATATGGTGTCAGTACTAGCTTGGACTGCACCAGCAGTAGCACCCCAGCTGGACCCACTTGTACATGATACCCTATTAGGAATGGGGGAGGCCCTTCCTAATGGTGAAGGCTTAGTGTCTAGAGGTGCCTCGGGCCCCATGGCCTCATCTTGCATTAGGACTTCAGGTCCCAAAACCTCTTGTAACTCTGCTGTTAAGGAACTTGCATTCAGCATACTCTGCTGCTCTAAGTAAGTAGGCACTGCACTTCGCCAAAGTGGATGTCTTCACTGTCCCTGTCCAGGGATTGTTATCCATGAACACACCCATCCCGCTATTGGGTTAGTTGTCAGCACGACTGTAGCCCGTACTGCCATGCTCTTATGAGCCTGAAGGGCAGAATATGCAGTTACTAACTGCTTTCCCAGTCTGGGGTGGTGGTTACGCATGAACACACCCATCCCACTATTACTAACTGTGGGATGCTTTTACTATTACTATTACTAACTGCTTCTCTGTTAATGAACACTGGAGGTCAGCTCTCTTCCACAGCTGCTTCCAAGCGCTCATGCACTGATATAGTCCCTAGCCAAAACTATCTGTGGTTACATGTACATCTAGTGTAAATGGGCACCCTCGGTTTACTACCCAGAAAGGCTGTCTCAGCCTCATCATCCCAGTCCCAGGCAAGAGGAGTGCTGCCACTTTTAAACCTGCAAGAGAATCAGAGGTTAACAGAACATTATTAACAAAACCACAGCATATGGCGGGGCTATACAATAGCCCATCAGCAACACTATGAAAGTCCATTGTCGGGCCTAGCGCGGTGGCTCATGCCTGTAATCTCAGCACTTTGGGAGACCGAGGCAGGCAGATCACAAGGTCAGGAGTTCGAGACCAGCCTGGCCAATATGGTGAAACCCCATCTCTACTAACAATACAAAAATTGGCTGGGCATGGTGGCTCACACCTGTAATCCCAGCACTTTGGGAGGCCAAGGTGGGCAGATCACGAGGTCAGGAGATTGAGACCATCCTGGCCAAATGGTGAAACCCTGTCTCTACTAAAAATACAAAAATTAACCGGGTGTGGTGGCACGTGCCTGTAGCCCCAGCTACTTGGGAGGCTGGGGCAGGAGAATCGCTTGAACCCAGAAGGCGGAGGTTGCAGTGAGCCGAGATCGCGCCACTGCACTCCAGCCTGGTGACAGGGCGAGACTGTCTCAAAATAATAATAATAATAATAATTAGCTGGGCATGGTGGCGGATGCCTATAGTCTTAGCTACTCAGGAGGCTGAGACAGGAGAATTGCTTGAACCCAGGTGGCAGAGGTTGCAGAAGCTGAGATCGTGCCACTGCACTCCAGCCGGGGCGACAGAGCAAGACTCCACTTCAAAAAAAAAAAAAAAAAAGAAAAAGAAAAGGAAAGTCCACTGTTGCCCTCCCATGAAGGCAAACTGTTCCTGGCTCTCTGAACAAGAAGTCCCAGTTCCGTTGTCAAGTGGTCCAGCAAGTCCGTGACAGACGGTACAGCTGCCAAGCCCTACAAAACATCCACCCTCAGAATGTCTTCAGGTATGGGAGACACATACACAGTGCATAAGTGGAGAGCCAAGCAGCCGATGCCAAGATGCAAAGACCCAGATTTTGCTTTCACTGACCAACTTTCGTAGCTGTTTATGCAGCTCTGCCCGGAAACTTATCCGGGTTCAGAGACCAGTGGATTGCCAAATCCACATGTGGCTCTGGTTGTCCAGTGCCCCGCAAGCCGGGCACCTTGGCCAGTTCTCTTATCAAGCAGAAAAGGCTTTACCCTTCCGCCAGCTGCAGCAGGTACTCTTTGAACTGGAATGCTCGGGCAGGACTGGGTTGCGCAGCAATGATCCTTCTCCCAAATGACTTGCGCTAAGTCTGTACACAACTGCAGACATTAGTTGCTTAACTCCCGCAACTCAGCGGGGACACAGGCATCATAGGAAACGTGTTCCACCACAATGGGGGAGTCTCTGGGCCTCCTCTTGGGACCCGACAGCTGTTCATGCTCTATTTTCTGACGGACTACCCGGCGGGCCTGCAACGGAGGTTTCTCCTCCCTGTGCTGCATCCTGCTGGGATTTGGCATTCATTTCCCTCAGCACAGTCGCAAATGCCCATCTGACTCTGCTGGCAAAGGTATGTTCCTTTCAATGCTGTGCATTTGCAGGTGCTTCAGCGCCTTCTCCACACTCATGGGGGATCTGGCCACTGCCTCCCATGTTTCCATTGGGGCTTATCCAAGCAGCACCACTACGACCAGGTACCACAGCTCATGCTGTGGCTACATAGCCCACCCGGCAGCCCTCAGGGGCTGAAGACCCACTCACCTCATTGCGTCCTCGTCACCAATTGTTATATCCTGGGGTCTGGGTCCAGCCCATGCTGAAGTCTAAGGGCAGTGGGTGGATGAGCAGAAAGAACACTTGGGTGGCCAGCCATAGGCAGGTGAATTTGGTTCTGTTTAGCAGCAGCTGTCTTACACAGCTTACTCAAACTAGCTCTTTTAAACTGTCCACCCTGTCTTGGCCGCTTAGTCCGGCGACTCCCACACACACCTGTGTGGCCAGCTCTGCCTTGCCTTTAGGGTCAGCAGCTTAACTCTTTTTCTCTCTGGGCAGGAGCAAGCTAAGCTGTGTCATGGCTCCCTCCTGTCCGTCTGCAAGACAGACAGCTTCGGCTCTGTCTCTTTCTCTGGGCGCCAGCACACTCTCCATGTCAAACCATATTGAGCCAAGCCCAGAGCCCCTGTATAGCATTAGCAGGGCAATTATACCTTTTACAGACAATACTGGCTCAGAGCCAAGTATGAACTTACACAAAAAGGTTATATAACAAGTGGAGGTGTGTGCCTGTGGGCCAAACTCACTGAGTTATGCAGGCCTGGATATCCACCTGGGCCTATCAACCACAGCACATCCATATACCTTACACCACTGTTTTTAATGTATCAAGAGCAGATTTATATAACTGGAGTAAGTTTGGGGTTAAATTAATAATAAATAATTAAAAAGACAAATAAATGAACAAACAATAACCCCCAGAAAAACAAAAATATAAAAGGGAAAGTAATCATACTATAATATTAGCATGGATAAAAATAGCGTTTTTCAGCTGGGTGTTGTGGCTCACACCTGTAATCCCAACACTTTAGGAGGCCGACGTCAGTGGATCACCTAAGGTCAGGAGTTCGAGACTAGCCTGGCCAACATGGTGAAACCCCATCTCTAGTAAAAAAAATACATAAATTAGCTGTGGTGGCGGGCACCTGTAATCCCCGCTACTCAGGAGGCTGAGGCAGGAGAATCGCTTGAACCCTGGAGGTGGAGGTTGCAGTGAGCCAAGATTGTGCCATTGCACTCCAACCTGGGTGACAAGAGCGAAATTCCATCTAAAAAAATATATATAGCATTTTTTACTTCTCCTTCCTGCCACTTTGTGAAGAAGGTGCTTTGCTTCCCCTTTTCCTTCCACCGTGATTAAGCTAGGAGAGGATATGCCTGCACAACATGGCAGATAATCAATGGGGGACCTGAGAAACTGAATTTCTATACACATCAGGGGCTGAGAGGATGCTCCAGGTGATGGTGAAGCTAAGCTCCAGCAGGACAAGTGGAGCATGGAGTATACCTTCAATTAGAAAACCAAAACAATGTGAACTGTTGAAAACTGCTGTCACTGATTCTCTCCAAGCTGAGGGAATACACAAGGTCACTGCCTCCCACGAAAAGCCGCTCTTGACATTCATCCAGCAGGATTGTGTAGAGATCAAGAAATCCAAAAGGGCTATGAAATATTGATGTTCTGTTCAGTTTCAAGACCTCTGAAATGCAAAGTGATATGTACACTAAACACACGAGAAAATGCAAACACCTTTATAACACTTTTCTCATAGCTCTATTTTCATCCCTATTGGAAGCAAGTCGTTAACATTCATTTTATCATAAATATAATGGCAATGAATTTTAATGTGCACAAATTAAAATATTTTATAAATAAAAAATAGCATTTTACATTATTCAACTTATGGAACTATTTGATTCTAGATTATATGATTGTATAACCTGAAAAAACTAATTAAAAATATTTTATATCATTCTATTTAGGGTATTAGATAAAAAAATTAAATAACTCATAGTGACTAAGCTGGTTAATTATTCTCTTAAATGGATATTAAAAGTGAATTTTTCTTTTTGATAAAGTAACTAGCAAATGATTAAATGTTGTGAAAGTGTTTCCTGGTATGTGGATTCACTGAATTCCTTTGACCCACTTAAACAGAACATGTGACATTCATGAAATAGTAACTTAATAACTTTAAAACAGCTGTTCTGTAGCTCCAAATTAATTTAGCTTTTCTCTCTCAACATGTCTACTTTATGAGAAAAAAGCGTGAGAAATGAGTTGTTCTTTTGCTTTCAGGCCCTGTCCTACCATGAGCTGAAGAGGCAGCAGCATATGTGTTTGGAGTTTAGTAGGGACTGAGAAGCAGGGAAAAGAACTGCCTAACCAAAGGTATTGTTTCCACCTGACTTCCAAGAGGTCAGAAAATTCTCCCTGGTAGATACTCTTTTATACGTGGACATTAGCAATTGTTGTTAAAATGAAAACAGTTTAAACCTATTAAGTTATCATCACCTATTAATAATTTAGACTATCAGCTTATCAGATTTATCAACTAGTCTTGTAGCAAAATACTGTTGTTAAACAGCACAGAAACAGGAGAGAAGAAAGAATTGTCTAAGTCTGCACTGTCCAACAGAAATAAAATATGAGCCATATAAGTTGAAATTTTCTAGTAATTAGCAAGTAAAAAGAAACAGGTGAATTTTTTTTCTTTTTTTTTACTTCCTCCTCTTCCAAGGTGAAATTTTTTTAATAACATATTTTTTGTTAACCCAATACATCTAAAACATTTTTAAACATAAATCAATATAAAATTTATTAAAGAGATATTTTGCATTCTTTTTTTTTTTGTACTAAGTCTTTAAAATCCGGTGTATGTTTTATACTTACAGCACATCTTAATTTGAACTAGACACATTTGAAGTTCTTAATAGCCACATGTGGCTACCATATTGGACAAGCAGGTCTAAGTCAGTGGTTCCCAAAATGTGGTCCCTGGAGCAGCAGGATCAGCATCACCCTAAAACTTGTTAGAAATACAAATTCTCAGGTTCCACCCCAGACCTACTTACTGAATCAGAAACTCAGATAGCTGGGCTCAGCAACCTGTGGTTTAACAAGCCTTTCAGGTGATTCTGATGACATGTTAAATTTCACAATCGGCAGCCTAAATTATGGGGAACTGGTTTTTCTTTGCTAACTAATACATTTAACAGGGTTCAAAATTCAAAAAGTACAAAAACATACACAGTGAAAATCTTCCTTTCCTGCCAGGCACAAACCATCTATCTCCCCTCCCTAGAGGCAACCAAAATGTTATGTTGGTAGGTAGCTGTCATGCTGGACCCCTATTGACTTCAACAGGAATGGCACCATGTTTGAGAGGCTGAAGACGAGATGCAGAGCCAGTGAATGAGACATACGGTTTATTTAATTAATTTATTTACTTTTTGAGACGGGGTCTCACTCTGTCACCCAGGCTGGAATACAGTAGTGTATTCATGGCTCACTGCAGTCTCAGCCACCTGGACACAAGCAATCCTCCTGCCTGAGACTCCTGAGAAGCTGGGACTACAGGCATTAGTTCTGGCTAATTAAAAAAAAAAAAATTATAGAGATGAGGCCTCACTATGTTTCCCAGGCTGAGACATAGGGTTTATTGAGGAGACTTACATACAGGGCAATCCTGTGGTGGCAGGCTGGACAGGAGAACTGCATTTGCTTATAAAAAGCATACTGGCTGGGCGCGGTGGCTCACACCTGTACTCCTAGCACTTTGGGAGGCCAAGGCAAGTGGATCACTTGAGGTCAGGAGTTGGAAACCAGCTTGGCCATCATGGTGAAACCCCGTCTCTATTAAAAATTCAAAAATTAGCTGGGCATGGTGGTGCGTGCCTGTAATCCCAGCTACTTGGGAGGCTGAGGCAGGAGAATTGCTTGAACCTGGGAGGTGGAGGTTTCAGTGAGCTGAGATCGTGCCACCGCACTCCAGCCTGGGCAAGAGCAAGACTCCATCTCAAAAAAAAAAAAAAAAAAAAAAAAGCATACTGGTTATATAGCATTTTCACTTAGCATTCTCACCCTAGCAACCTCCACCTGGCAACCTTGATTTAACCCAAAACAAAGGGCCTCGATCCCCTGTATGGCCCGCATTCCATGGGATGAGATGGGGCTTCCTATGTTCCTCATAGGTAAGGAGTGAATCTCCTGATTGGCAACTCCCAGGTTCCTTTTGTTTGTTTGTTTGTTTTTGTTTTAAGAAACATGTTTATTTTCTGTCAAACTTATTTCCATGTGGCTTATGAGCCTGTAAGACAACTTGGTGGTTGTTCCTACCCATTCAAGTGGCCTGAGCAGTGGGAGCTGCAGACCAGGCTTCTGTGGCAGGCTGAGCTCTCCAGTCTTCAGTAAGGAATTGCTGAATAGGCACAGAGGGCACCTTCCACCTTCAGATCAGTCTGCACCCTCAGGCGGAGGAGCAGTGAACTCAGGAGCCAGAGCCGTCCACTTACCCTGAAATTCCTCCTTGGTCACAGATTTTTTTCAGCAACAGCCTGCTCTTCCTTTTCATCTTTTTTTTTTTTTTTTTTTTTGAGACAGAGTCTCACTCTGTTGCCCAAGCTACAGTGCAATGGTGCTGTCTCAGCTCACTGCAGCCTCCGCCTTCTGGGTTCAAGTGATTCTCCTGCCTCAGCCTCCCAAGTAGCTGGGACTGCAGGCACGTGCCACCACGCCCAGCTAATTTTTGTATTTTTAGTGGAGACTGGGTTTCACCATGTTGGCCAGGCTGGTTTTGAACTCCTGACCTCAGGTGATTCACCCACCTTGGCCTCCCAAAGTGCTGGGATTACAGGCATGAATCACTGCACCTGGCCTTCCTTTTCAACCTCTTTAGGATCTCCGTAGAAGCAGAGATCAGGCCTGAGCTCCCATGAGTGTTCACAGGACATGGTGCCATGCATGCACAGAAGTTCCCAAACCAGCATCCATCATATCAAACCCATAAGTTAAATCCTTTGTTGTTGCATGGGATGGCAATGTCCCCATAGCACAGAGGAGAATCTGTGTTGCACAGAGCGATGGTAGATAGATTAACGTAAGTTGCCTCTGTGACAGGCTGGTGGTCATCGTTGGAATCAATAACCACCAGAAGCTGTGGCTCCCAGAAGGCTGCCTGGATCTGGTTAGTGAAGGTTCCAGGAGTGAACCGATCAGCAATTGAACTTTAATTGAGCAATTGAGATTCTTTAGCTCAGAGTTCCGAACACACATTCTTCTTTTTTTTGAGACGGAGGCTGGAGTGCAGTGGTGAGATCTAGGCTCACTACAATCTCTTAAGACTTGACTGGGGCTAGAGAATCCACCTTCAGGATGGCTCACTCACATGACTGTTAGCAGGAGGCCTCAGTTTCTTGTTGGCTCTTGGCTGAGGGCCTCAGTTCCTCACTACAAGTACCTCTCCATAGGGCTGCTTGAATGTCTTCACACCATAGCAGCTAGTGACTGATCCAAGAGACAGCAAGGCAAAAGCCACAAGGTCTTTCTATACACTTGCCTTTGAAGGGACATACCATTACTATTGCAATTTTCTAGTAGTCACACAGAGCAAATCTGGTACAATATGAGAGGGGACTACAAAAGGGTAAACATCAGGAGGCAGGGATCACTGGAGGCCATCTTGGAGGCTGCTGTATGGCAGATGTGCCTAACAGCAACAATTTAAGCATACCCTGAGAATGACCCTATGGCCTAAGACGAACGTGTGTTCAGACAGCCCAGCGCAGTGGCTCATGCCTATAATCCCAGCACTTTGGGAGGCCAAGGCGGGTGGATCACCTGAGGTCAGGAGTTCGAGACCAGCCTGCCCAGCATGGTGAAACCCCATCTCTGTTAAAAATATAAAAATTAGACTAGGCGCGGTGGCTCACACCTGTAATCCCAGCACTTTGGGAGACCAAGGTGGGCGGATCACGAGGTCAAGAGATTGAGACCATCCTGGCCAACATGGTGAAACCCTGTCTCTACTAAAAATACAAAAATTAGCCGAGCATGGTGGTGCACACCTGTAGTCCCAACATCCTAGAGATGAAATTACTGAGAGGGCTGGGCACGGTGGCTCATGCCTGTAATCCCAGCACTTTGGGAGGCTGAGGCAGGCGGATCATTTGAGGTCAGGAGTTTGAGACCAGCCTGGCCAACACAGTGAAAACCCATCTCCACTAAAAATACAAAAATTAGCCAGGCATGATGGTGCACACCTGTAATTGCAGCTACTCGGGAGGCTGAGGAGGAGAATCACTTGAACCCAGGAGGCGGAGGTTGCAGTGAGCACAGATCGCGCCACTGCACTCAAGCCTGGGTGACAGAACAAGACTCTGTCTCAAAAAAGAAAGAAAGAAATTACTGAGAGAGTATGTACATTTAAAGATTTGATGAATATCACAAAATTTCCCTGCAAAAAAAAAAAAAAAGTCATACCGACGTACACCTTCGTGAATAGTGTTGTTGGAGACTTTGGATGCTCCTTTCCTCACTTTCACTCCAGTTCTGATCAATGAAGAATACATATTTAAAAAATGGTCAAATGGGAACTGACATACAGTTCTGTTAATATGCACAAGACTCTAGTACTCCTGAATTGTAGCTTACCTTAGGTCTGAGGTTACAATTGGGCATCTTACTTCCAGTGTGATTCCAGATCTTATGACCCACACAATCATGCATTCTTGCAGATAAATCAGTAAAAACAAAATTTCCTTCTTCTTATAAGTTAAAGTCCCATATTTGATTATTTTCCTTTTTTTTTTTTTTTTTTGAGACGAAGTCTCGCTCTGTCGCCCGGGCTGGAGTGCAGTGGCCGGATCTCAGCTCACTGCCAGCTCTGCCTCCTGGGTTTACGCCATTCTCCTGCCTCAGCCTCCCGAGTAGCTGGGACTACAGGCGCCCACCACCTCACCCGGCTAGTTTTTTGTATTTTTTAGTAGAGACGGGGTTTCACCGTGTTAGCCAGGATGGTCTCGATCTCCTGACCTCGTGATCCGCCTGTCTCGGCCTCCCAAAGTGCTGGGATTACAGGCTTGAGCCACCGCGCCCGGCTTTTTTTTTTTTTTGAGACGGAGTTTTGCTCTTTTTGCCCAGGCTGGAGTGCAATGGCACGATCTTGGCTCACCGCAACCTCCGCCTCCTGGGTTCAAGCGACTCTCCTGCCTCAGCCTCTTGAATAGCTGGGATTACTGGCATGTGTCACCATGCCTGGCTAATTTTGTATATTTTAGTGGAGACAGGGTTTCTCCATGTTGGCCAGGCTGGTCTCAAACTCCCGACCTCAGGTCATCTGCCCACCTCGGCCTCCCAAACTGCTGGGATTACAGGCGTGAGCCATTGCACCCGGCCTTTTTTTTTTTTTTTTTTTTTTGAGATGGGAGTCTCACTCTGTTCCCCAGGCTGCAGTGTAGTGGCACAGTCTTGGCTCACTGCAACATCCACTTCCCAGGTTCAAGCAATTCTCCTGCCTCAGCCTCCTGAGTAGCAGGGATTACAGATGCATGTCACCACACCTGGCTAATTTTTGTATTTTTAATAGAGACAGGGTTTCACCATGCTGGTCAGGCTGGTCTCAAACTCCTGACCCCGTTGATTTGCCTGCCTTGGCCTCCCAAAGTGCTGGGATTACAGACATGAGCTACTGCTCCCGGCCAGTAATTTTTCTTTCTTTTTATTTTTTTGAGACGGAGTCTCACTCTGTCACCCAGGCTGGAGTGCAGTGGCATGATCTTGGCTCACTGAAACCTCCACCTCCCAGGTTCAAGCAATTCTTCTGCCTCAGCCTCCCAAGTAGCTGGGATTATCGGCATGTGCCACCACGCCCGGTTAATTTTTGTATTTTTGGTAGAGACAGGGTTTCACCATGTTGACCAGGTTGGTCTCAAACTCCTGACCTCATGATCCACCCGCCTTGGCCTCCCAAAGTGCTGGGATTACAGGCATGAGCCACTGTGCCCAGCTAGCCCCAATTTTTATTTGGCCTGATGAGTCTGGTTTCCAAAAACAGTAGCTAAATCTCACTTTAGAAATATACCCTGTTGCTTAGACATGGTTTGAAAAAGAATTGATTGGGGACTGAAAGGGTTCATGTCTACGTCACTGTTTTTTTGTGTGTTTGTTTGTTTGAGAGGGAGTCTGGCTCTGTCACCCAGGCTGGAGTGCAGTGGTGCAATCTTGGCTCACTGCAACTTTCGCCTCCTGGGTTCAAGTGATTCTCGTGCCTCAGCCTCCCAAGTAGCTGGAATTACAGACAAGTGCCACCATGCCCAGCTAATTTTTTTTTTTTTGAGACGGAGTCTCGCTCTCTCGCCCAGGCTGGAGTGCAGTGGCCAGATCTCAGCTCACTGCAAGCTCCGCCTCCCAGGTTCACGCCATTCTCCTGCCTCAGCCTCCCGAGTAGCTGGGACTACAGGCGCCCGCCACCTCGCCCGGCTAGTTTTTTGAATTTTTTAGTAGAGACGGGGTTTCACCGTGTTAGCCAGGATGGTCTCCATCTCCTGACCTCGTGATCCACCCATCTCAGCCTCCCAAAGTGCTGGGATTACAGCCTTGAGCCACCGCGCCCGGCCATGCCCGGCTAATTTTTATATTTTTAGTAGAGATGGGGTTTCACCATGTTGGCCAGGCTGGTCTCAAAGTCTTGACTTTGGGTGATCCACCCACCTCGGCTTCCCAAAGTGCTGGGATTACAGGCATGAGCCACCACACCCGGCCCGTACTTCATTGTTGATCTGCTGGTCCACTTGGTAGATAAGGAAGTCAGGCCAGACCCCTGTTGCCAATGGTTATACATATTAAACCATATTCCTTGAAGTATGTAGCTACAAAGATGGGATATTGGCTCACCGTTACATAGTTATTGATGCCAGGGTATGTTTATAAGGTATAAATATACCATTTTACTTCCCTGATTGAAAACTTCTGATGATTCATCATTGCCCAAATCATAAAGTGTATATTTCATGATATGGCTCTCACAGCCCTTCACAATCTAATCTAAACCTACTCTTCAGCCTCTTTCCTTATTCCCACCCTACCTCTGATGTCACTCCCCTATTTCTTGAAATTTGGGTGGTTTTTTTTTTTTTTTATATATAGAGATGGCATCTTGATGTGTTCTCCTGGCTGGCCTTGAACTTCTGAGCTCAAGTGATCCTCCCACCTCAGCCTCTCAAAGTGCTGGGATTACAGGTATAAGCCACCATGCCCAGCCTATTTCTTGAAATTTGGTCTCCAACCATGCTAAAAAACTGGTCATTGCCTAATCAGGTAAGACATGATGAATCACACTCTCCAGGCTCCTGAAGTAGCTTACCAATATTGGGAATACCTGTTGACCCTGATTACTCAGACTATATCCTGCCTGGGCTGTCAGGCAGCTCAAAGTTAAATTTTTATTTTTTATTATAAGAGACATGGCCAGATGTGGTGGCTCATGCCTGTAATCCCAGCACTTTGGGAAAACGAGGCAGGCAGATTGCTCGAGTCCAGGAGTTCAAGACCAGCCTGGGCAACATGATGAAACCCCCATCTTTACCAAAAAATACAAAAATTAGCTGGACGTGGTGGTGCATGCCTGTCGTTCCAGCTACTCAGGAGGCCGAGGTGGGAGGATCACCTGAGTCCGGGAAGTCAAGGCTGCAGTGAGCTATGATCATGCCACTGCACTCCAACATGCATGACAGAGTGAGACCCTGTCTCAATAAAAAACCGAGAGAGACAGGATCTTTCTATGTCACCCAGGTTTGAGTGCAGTGGCTATTCACAGGTGCTATCATGGTGTACTACAGCCTTAGACTCCTGGACTCTAGTGATCCTCTCATGTCAGTGACCAGAATAGCTGGGACTATGGGCCCATGCCACTGCACCTAGCTTTTACAATTAAATTTAGTGCCTACTCACTAACTCTTATTACTAACTCTTAGTAGCCGAATTAACATTTCTATTTCTTTGGACCATATTTTTGTTGTTATATTTAAGACTACTTCTTTAAATGATAAAATAAGTGAGATATAGAAATGAAGAAAAATATTTTGAAATGTTATTTTTAAATTTTATTTATTTATTTATTTATTTATTTTTGAGAGAGTCTCTCTCAGTCGCCCAGGCTGAAGTGCAGTGGCGCAATCTAGGCTCACTGCAGCCTCTGTATCCTGGGTTCAAGCAATTCTCCTGCCTCAGCATTCCAAGTAGCTGGGACTACAGGGGCGTGCCACCACACCTGGTTAATTTTTGTATTTTTAGTAGAAACAGGATTTCACCATGTTGGCCAGGCTGGTCTTGAACTCCTGACCTCGAGTGATCCGCCTGCCTCAGCCTTCCAAAGTGCTGGGATTACAGGCATGAGCCACCACGCCTATTTTTTTTTTTTTTAAAGAAATACATGCAGTTGTTAAAAAAGAAAAAGTACTCAAGTGTATAAACTATACAGTCACACATTCTTCCCTAACTCCACTGCCCAGAAGTACCTAGTTAAGCTTAATATATATGCTTCCAGATTTTTCATATAAGCAGCTGATAAATCTCATACATTGCTGGTGGGAATATAAATTGGCACACTATTTTGGAAAACTGTTTGGCACCATCTACTAAAACTAAATATATACATAGACACAATAGTCTCACTCCTAGGCATATATTCAGCAGAAATGTAGACATCTGTGAACTAAAAAAAATATAAAAGTAATGTTCATATAAGCATGATTTCTTAGTAGCCCCAAAGTAGAAATAAATAAATTGTGGTATATTCAACTTGAATATATCTCATAAACAATAATGACCAGAGAAGCCAGACAAAAGAAAATATGCTGTATGATTACATTCCTGTAAAGTTCAAAACAATCCATAATGGTAGAAATCAGCAAGTAGTTACTTTTGGGGAGATGGCTGTGACTACGAGGATGTATAAGAAGGCATTTGGGCTATTAATGGGTGTGATTGCATTGTGATAATTTATTGAGCTGAACACTGATGCAGTAAAAAGATATTGATCTCATTATTTTTAATGGCTCCAGAGTCTTCCATTGGATGGATGTTTACTAATTTAGTTAACCATCTCTCTATTGATTGCACATTTACGTTAGGTTTTTAGGTTGTTATTCCTATAATAATGCTGTCATGACCAACCTTGTATAACTTCTTCCATTTTTATGAATATATCTGTAAGATATATTTCTAAATAGAGAAACTGATGCTTTACAAGAAATACATGCTGTAAATGTTGTTAGATATTGTCATAAAACCCTGCAAAAAAAAAAAAAACTGTAACAATTTGCATTTTCACACAGGACATAGTTGCCTAATTTCCATAATCTGAAAATTCACTGAGTAGTGTTGGTCTTTTACATTGCTGCCTTTAGTAGGTGAAAGCATTTTCTCACTACTGCATTCATTCTAGGTTTTTTTCTTTCTTTCTCTTTTCTTTTCTTTCATTCTTTCTTTCTCTTTTCTTTCTGTCTTTTCCTCTCTTCCTCACTCCCTCCCTCCTTGATTTCTCTCTCTCTCTCTTTCTCTTTTTCTTTTTTTCTTTGACAAGTTCTTGCTCTGTCGCCCAGGCTGGAGTGCAGTGGTGCAATCGTAGCTCATTGTAACCTCTAACTCCTGGGCTCAAGTGATCCTCCTGCCTCAGCCTCCTGAATAGCCAGAACTACAGGCACTCGCCACTGTGCCTGGCTTCTCATTCGTATTTTTAAATTATTGGTGAATTGAAATTTTTTTTTTTTTTGAGATGGAGTCTTGCTCTGTCGCCCAGGCTGGGGTGCAGTGGTGCGATCTCGGCTCACTTCAAGCTCCCTCTCCCGAATCCACGCCATTCTCCTCCCTCAGCCTCCTGAGTAGCTGGGACTACAGGCGCCCACCACCATGCCTGGCTAATTTTTATGTATTTTTAGTAGAGATGGGATTTCATCGTGTTAGCCAGGATGGTGTCTATCTTCTGACCTCGTGATCCGCCTGCCTCGGCCTCCCAAAGTGCTGGGATTACAGGCTTGAGCCACCGCGCCTGGCCGAATTGAAAATATTTAATGTTATTAGCTGTTTGTTATTTGTTATGAGTTTCTTATTTATGTTGTTCTCCTTTTTTCCCCTCTAGGGAGTTGTTTGCTTCTAATATATATTAAGAATACTAATCCTGGCCAGGCGCGGTGGCTCATGCCTGTAATCCCACCACTTTGGGAGGCCGAGGTGGGCGGATCGCTTGAGCTCAGAAGTTTGAGACCAGCCTGGGCAACACAGTGAGACCTGTCTCTACCAAAGAATTTAAAAATTAGCCAAGTGTGGTAATTTTTACTGGAAATTAAATTAATTACTAGAATTCCAAAAAATAAATTCCTGGAAATTCCTCACTGGAGCCTGGGAGGTCAAGGCTGCAGTGAGCACTCCAGCCTGGGCGACAGTGAGACCCTGTCTCCAAAAAAAACAAACAAAAAAAAAAAAGAGGAGAGAGAGAACACCAATCCTTTATAAAGTGGCACAAAATATGTTTTCTGGGTATCATTTGGAATTTGTCTTCATTATTGGTAATTTTTGACCTAAGAAAAAGTAGTTTAAATTTTTATGTGTTCTGTTTTAGGCTTTCAGTGTTTTCTAGTATCTTCTTAAGACTGGAAGGCCAGTGAGCAAGTTTTTCGGAATTTGTCCCCATGCTGATATTTTGTGTCAGGTTTTTCCTGGAACACAGTGTACCCTTTGCATGTTCCAAGGGAGGAGATCAAGGTAATATCAGACAATTCTGCCCACACATCCCGGGCTGGCCTCCCAGACACTGGACTGGGGCAGATAAGACAAGCGGTCTAGCTCCTCAAGGCTTTTATGAATGGCTCTTTGATACTGGCCTCTGAAGCCTTTGAAATGGGTCAAGGCAGAACATTTACTTTTTATCCAAGAGTTGCATTATACGCTACAAGAGAAATCATAGCTTATTCACTACTCAGTTACATTTTCAAATTGAGGTTATTAGATGTTATCACCCCAATGATCCTGTGCCAGTTATTTTTTAAAGTCATAACATTTGAAATGTAACAGTATGTTCCTTTTCCCTTATGGTTTAAGAGAAAATGATGTTCATAAAATGAATCACCCGTTCTTTACTCCCAAAGAAGCACTAGAGTCTCCAGATTTCCCCTCTCCCAGTTCTCCTTTTGCAGGGTTCTAGCTGGAAGGGCCTCACTCACGTACCAGCTCGGTGTCAGGGCTCTCCTTTTGACAAGTGTAGCTCTAGCCATCTTCCACTAGAGCCACTGTGGTTCCTCCAGCTCCTCCCAGGATGTTCCAACCCAATTCTGTACTTTTCCTGACTTTTAGAAGGTCCCATAAAAATGTTCCAGCCTCAAAAAAAAAAAAAAAAGTTAAGACTGGGCAGGGTGACTCACACCTGTAATCCCAGCACTTTAGGAGGCCAAAGTGGGCAGATCACATGAGGCCAGGAGTTCAAGACCAGCCTGGCCATCATGATGAAACCCTGTCTCTACTGAAAATACAAAAATTAGCCAGGCATAGTGGTGCATGTCTGCAATCCCAGCTACTCAGGAGGCTGAAACACATGAATCTCTTGAACCCAGGAGGCGGAGGTCGCAGTGAGCTGAGATTGAGCCACTGCACTCCATGTGCCACCATGCCTGGGTAATTGTTTAATTTTTTTTTTTGGAGGCAAGGCCTGACTATGTTGCCCAGACTCATCTCGAATTCCTGGCCTCAAGCAATCCTCCCCACTCAGCCCTTCAGTCTTTGGAATTACAAACATGAGCCACAATGCCTAGCTAAAATGAGTACATTTTATCATATACAAATTACATCTTAATGAAGGTGATTTTTTTTTTTTTTTAGATGGAGTCTTACTCTGTCGCCCAAGCTGGAGTGCAGTGGCACAATCTCACCTCACTGCAACCTCCACCTCCTGGTTTCAAGCGATTCTCCTGTCTCAGCCTCCTGAGAAGCCGGGATTATAGGCGGCCACCACCATGCCTGGCTAATTTTTGTATTTTTAGTAGAGATGGGGGTTTCTCTATGTTGGCCAGGGTGGTCTCGAACTCCTGACCACAGGTGACCTGCCCGCCTTGGCCTCCCAAAGTGCTGGGATTACAGGCATGAGCCACCGCGCCCAGCCAATGAAGCTGAATTTTTTAAATGCTGGAACCAAACTACCTCACTTTTTCTTTATTTTTCAGACACTGTTAAGCTGTTAAGGTTGAACTGTGTCCCCCAAATGATATATTGAAATCCTATCCCAACTATCTCAGAATGTGACCTTACTTAGAAACAGGGTGGTTGGCCGGACGCGGTGGCTCACGCCTGTAATCCCAGCACTTTGGGAGGCGGAGGTGGGCGGATCACTAGGTCAGGAGATCGAGACCATCCTGACTAACATGGTGAAACCCTGTCTCTACTAAAAATACAAAAATTAGCTGGGCGTGGTGACAGGCTCCTGTAATCCCAGCTACTCGGGAGGCTGAGGCAGGAGAATGGCGTGAACCCGGGAGGCGGAGCTTGCAGTGAGCCAAGATGGCGCCACTGTACTCCAGCCTGGGGGACAGAGCGAGACTCCGTCTCAAAAAAAAAAAAAAAAAAAAAAAAAAGAAACAGGGTGGTTGCAGATACAATCAAGTCAAGATGAGGTCATACTGGTTTAACATGGGCCCTAATCCAGAGACTGTTGAAATAAGAAGAGAAAATTTGGACACAGAGACACAGACACATGGGAAGAACACTGTGTAGTTTTCTTGGTTTCTTTTTTTGAGACCGAGTCTCGCTCTGTCGCCCAAGCTGGAGTGCAGTGGCGTGATCTCGGCTCACTGCAACCTCCGCCTCTCAGGTTCAAGTGATTCTCCTGTCTGGCCCTATCTAGTAGCTGGGACTACAGGTGCGTGCCACCACGCCTGACTGATTTTTTTTATTTTTAGGAGAGACAGGGTTTCACCGTGTTAACCAGGATGGTCTCGATCTCCTGACCTCGTCATCTGTCCATCTCGACCTCCCAAAGTGCTGGGATTAGAGGAGTGAGCCACCGTGCCCAGCCAAAGAACGCTAAAGGAGGCAGAGACTGGAGTCATGCGTCCACAAAACAATGCCAAAGATTGCCAACAACTACCAAAAACTGAGAAGAATCAAGGAGGGATTTTACTGCTCTCTCAGCTCTCCACCAAATGAGGATACAATGAGGCAACTGCTATCTGCAAACCAGGAAGAGTGCCCTCCCCAGACCCCAAATTTGCTGGCATCTTGATCCTGGACTTCCCAACCTCCAAAACTGTGGGAAATAAATGTTGTTTAAGTCAAAAAGAAAAAAAAAAGTAAAGTAAGTTTCTTCCCCTAGGACCTTCAGAGAGAGCATGACCCCTCAATTTTGGACTTCTAGCCTCTGGAACTGTGAGGGAACAAATGTTTGATGTTTAAAGACACCCAGGGCCGGGCCTGGTGGTTCATGCCTGTAATCCCAGCACTTTGGGAGGCCAAGATGGGAGAAATTGCTTGAGGCTAGGTGTTCAAGACCAACCTGGACAACATAAGCAGACCCTGTCTCCATAAAAACAAGCAAAAAAAAAAAAAAAAAAATTAGAGGCTGAGGCGGGTGGGTCGCTTGAGGTCAGGAATTCGAGACCAGCCTGGCCACCATGGCAAAACCCCGTCTCCACCAAAAAAATACGAGAATTAGCCAGGCAAGGTGGTGTGCGCCTATAGTCCCAGCTACTCGGATGGCTGAGGCAGGAGAATCACTTGAACCCAGCAGATGTAGGTTGCAGTGAGCGAAGATCCCACCACTGCACTCCAGCCTGGGTGATAGAGCTAGACTGTCTCAAAAAAAGTAAAAAATAATAATAATTTAAAAAGTAACAGGGCATGTTGGTACATGCCTGTAATCCCAGCTTCTCAGGAGGCTGAGGTGGGAGGATTGCTTGAGGCGGTGGAGGCTGCAGTGAGCTGTGATCACAGCAGTGCACTCCAGTCTGGGTGACACCGTGAGACTGTTTCCCAGAAAAACAAAAAACAAAAAGTGTAAAGACACTTTGAGGGAGGGAGAGAGAAGAAAATAAAGACATCCAGTTTGTGATAATTTGCTACAGAGCCTAGGAATCTAACACAGACACTTAGAATTGTTTTCATTTATTTTTTTTGTTGTTGTTGAGACAGAGTCTCGCTTTGTCACCCAGACTGGAGCGCAGTGGCCGGATCTCAGCTCACTGCAAGCTCCGCCTCCCGGGTTTCCGCCATTCTCCTGCCTCAGCCTCCCGAGTAGCTGGGACTACAGACGCCCGCCACCTCGCCCGGCTAGGTTTTTGTATTTTTTAGTAGAGACGGGGTTTCACCGTGTTAGCCAGGATGGTCTCGATCTGCTGACCTCGTGATCCGCCCATCTCGGCCTCCCAAAGTGCTGGGATTACAGGCTTGAGCCACCGCGCCCGGCCTAGAATTGTTTTCATAAACCAGGCGTGGTGGCTCATGCCTGTAATCCCAGCACTTTGGGAGGCTGAGGCGGGCAGATCACAAGATCAGGAGATCGAGACCATCCTGGCTAATACAGTGAAACCCTGTCTCTACTAAAAATACAAAAAAAAAAAAAAAAAAAAAAAAAAAAAAGCCAGGCGTTGTGGCGGGCGCCTGTAGTCCCAGCTACTCAGGAAGCTGAGGCAGGAGAATGGCTGAACCCAGGAGGCGGAGCTTGCACTGAGCCGAGATGTCCCCACTGCCCTCCAGCCTGGGTGACAGAGCGAGACTCCGTCTCAAAAAAAAAACAAAAGGAATTCTTTTCATAATATGCTCTTGCCCTATGGAGATGTTTTATAGTCAGATACGAAGTCGATGAGCTTGAGATCTGAAAAACTTCCTCTTCACTTTGTACCTCCTTGGTGGAGTTCTCAGGGAACTCGCCTTCTAGTGAGCCCGCATCCAGCCTGCTCTCACACAGATGCTGTCTGGCTCCCATTGAGGGGCTCCAATGCCTGTGGGTTCTTTCAGATGCCCAGCTTCACAAACCCCCTTACACAGGCTGCTCGTAGCATGTGTCTTTCTCTGCATGTGGAGTGGGCTATAATATTTCAAATATTAATGTGCATTTCCTTACCCTCTAGATCATCATCACATTTTTGTTGTTGTTGTTTCTTCCAGAAGAGATTTTTCCACAACCTAAAGTTAGTTCTGAATCTCCCCTTGCTTTGAGAAAACAACAGTGGAGGGTGGGGACATCACTGTGGAATGTCAGAAATGAAAGTCAGTAAATTTTGGTTTGTAAGTTCAAAAGCGGTTTATGTCTCATAAAGCAAAAATATTAAGAAAGAAGATAAAATCAGTCAGCAGAGATGACCAGATAGGTAGAGACTGAGAATGTCACAACCTCTGCTCACTCTTACAACCACCCTGGTAGCATTTTTAACCCCCTTCCCAGGAATATTAACTTCAAAAGGAAGAAAGATCAAGTAGAAAGAAATGTGAACTAAGGTATTTTAAACATGAATTGAGATATAATTGAATTTGATTTAGTTTGCCTTAGATTAACAAGATTGTTTTCTGCTTCAGGCAGGATGGGGACTCAAGGTCATAAATTAAGACTGAATTGTAGGAAAGTTCTATTTGGCTGGGCATGGTGGCTCATGTCTGTAATCCTAGAACTTTGGGAGGCCAAGAAAGGAGGATCATTTGAGGCCAGAAGTTCAAGACCAGCCTGGGCAGTATAGGGAGACCTCTGACTCTACCAAAAAATATAAAAGTTAGCCAGACATGGTGGCACATACCTGTGGTCCCAGCTGCTCGGGAGGCTGAGGTGGGGGGATCAATTGAGCCCAGGAGGTTAAGGATGCAGTGAACTTTGATCATGCCACTGTACAACCTGGGTGACAGAGAGAGACCCTCATTTCAAAAAACCCAATTAACTAAATTAAATATAACCTTTCTTTTCTTTCTTTCTTTCTTTTTTTTTTTTTTGAGACAGGTCTTGCTGTGTCACCCAGCCTGTAATGCAGTTGGCGCCAGCTCAGGTCACTGTGACCTTGACCTTCTGGACTCAAGTGATCCTCCCACCTCAGTCTCCCAAGCAGGTGGGACCACAGGCCCACACCACCACACCCTGCTAATTTTAAAATTTTTCTTTGTAGAGATGGGGTCTCACTATGTTGCCCAGGCTGGTCTTGAACTCCTGGGCTTAAATGATCCTCTCTTGGCCTCCCAAAGCGCTGAGATTACAAGTGTGAGCCATTGCTCCCGATTAAAAAGTTCTATATTCTATATATCTGCACTTGGAGGATCCTGTGGGTGAGCATCTGTGCACAACCAGTTCCTTCACTTGCGTCGCCCTAGCCCCAGCCCTGCTCTTCATTTGCTGCTTTCAGAGGGTATCTTTCAACATTTTCCTGAACTTGGACCTTCTCTGAGGGAGATCCAGCAGTTTCTGAAATCACTAACTGCTCGTTTACAAAATCCTTTCGGGTCCCAGACATCCTCCCTATTTCTTAAGAATATTTTTGGCCGGGCACGGTAGCTCATGCCTGTAATTTCAGCACTTTGGGAGGCTGAGGTGTGTGGATCACCTGAGGTCAGGAGTTCAAGACCAGCCTGGCCAACATGGTGAAACCCCATCTCTACTAAAAATACAAAAATCAGTTGGTGTGGTGGCATGTGCCTGTAATCCCAGCTGCTCGGGAGGCTGGGGCAGGATAATCGCTTGAACCTGGAAGGCGGACGTTGCAGTGAGCCGAGACGGTGCCATTGCACTGGGCGAAAGAGTGAGACTCCATGTCAAAAAAAGAAAAAAGAAAAATGTTCAGGACTGTTACAGCTGAGAAAAGATTTTTTCATGTATCCTTTAGACTTACATGGTCACAGCCTTTCTTCATGACAGGCCCCTCTCTTTTCTCCCTCGCATCCTGATAAACCCCTATTCTACCCTCCGCCAAATTTGTATTAAAAGTCGCACATGAGCCCAGATGACATCTGATTCTCTGTAGCTGACAGAGGGCTGGCAACAGAAATCTCTCTTATATCCTGGCAATATGTAATATACTACCTTTCTCGTCTAGTAATGAGAGTCCTTAAAGGGTCTAGTTTCTTCATAAAGGATGCACCCTCTCTGAAACTAGACATCAACCTTATAACTTTGAATCATTCTCTAATTAGGCAAAAGCATATCTTGCAAAATAATTTTATACTTTCAATTTTGAAAATGCCACCTAGTGGACAGAACTAGTAAGGTTTTCATGATAACAACCAGTCATGGGATAATCGCTAGAGTGAGCCCAGGGGTTTAACAAACCCTCCAGCTGGATCCACTTCAGCACGCAAACCAGACAAATGGCCTGTGATGACTTCTTTTTCTTTTTTTTCTTTCTTTCTTTTTTTTTTTGAGATGGAGTTTTGCTCTCGTTGCCCAGGCTGGAGTGCAATGGCATGATCTCAGCTCACCACAACCTCCACCTCCTGGGTTCAAGCAATTCTCCAGCTTCAGCCTCCAGAGTAGCTGGGATTACAGGCATGCACCACCACACCCAGCTAATTTTGTATTTTTAGTATAAATGGGGTTTCTCCATGTTGGTCAGGCTGGTCTCGAACTCCCGACCTCAGGTGATCCATCCGCCTTGGCCTCCCAAAGTGCTGGGATTACAGGCATGAGCCACCGCATCCTGCGCTGTGAAGACTTTTCTCCTGTCTTTTCTGCTTCCCTCCAAATTAATCATGACATAATAATTTAAAAGAAAATATTGGGGGGCAGGCATGGTGGCTCGCACCTGTAATCCCAGCACTTTGGGAGGCTGAGGTGGGCGGATCACTTGAGGTCAGGAGTTCAAGACCAATCTGGCCAACATGGTGAAACCCCATCTCTACTAAAAATACAAAAATCAGCTGGGCAAGGTGGTTCATGCCTGTAATTGCAGCTACTGAGGAGGCTGAGGCAGAAGGATCACTTGAACCAGGGAGGAGGAGGTTGCAGTGAGCTGAGATTGTGCCACTATACTCTAGCCTGGGCAACAGTGCAAGACTCCGTCTGAAAAGAAACAAAATAATTAACATCAAGAAGAAAATGTTGGTTGTTCCAATTCATGTTGTTATGACGTCCAAGTTGCTAGCTATTGTAATGGCAAAATATTTGGGGAAAGTATATGGAACAAAGGTTCATGTGCTGGGCAGTGATGGGAAGTTAGTAATTAGTATGTCCACTCTCCAACTGCATAGAATAGTTTACACTCAGCAGGAAAATCACTAAACTAAAATTCCAAACATAATATGAGAATTCAATAGGTACTTTATTGTTTGAAAAAACATATAAATCATGACTGTTTCTCCCCACCCCTAAGAGTAGTAATTGAAAACTCTGGAAATCTTTTAAACAAAGATAGGACGCATTCCTTTGTTTCAAATATAGAGTACTTGCAGATAAGATCCCTGAAATCTTCTTTTGAGAAATGTCAGGGCAAAACTGAGATCCAGTTTCTGAGTTTAGACAGATAATTACTGAAACTTTTGAGAGTACTTGGAACTTCAAATTATCTGTGACTCCACCTTTACTGAGTCACACAGCAGCCATTACAGCCCTTTTCTGTTTCTTCCTTTGTGTTGCTCCATCCTAGGTTTGGGAAATGGTGCATTTCCTCCTCTCTGCCCACTAGCAATTTCACATTTCAATTTCAGCTAGAGGAAGGGACACAAATAAATACCTATTAGAAATTATGGGGTGGAATAATTTTTTGGATGAGAAAGTTTCAAAAATCATGAGAGGGACCTATGACAGACCCCCTAGGGTCTTATATAATGTCCCCTCCACATTTCTCTGCTTTTAGACACAGCTGTGCTGAATAGTTCCACGCAAGTTCAGATGCACCTAGCACTGATGGTGCTCATGAGTACACGTGTGCATCTTGTTCAATGCCCAGGACATTCTTCAGTGCCACAGGAGCCTGCTAGACTCATGGACAAGTGCAGTCCAAGGCAACCCTCAGGCAGAGGGGGATGGGAATAAGTGATGATCCAGCCTCCTTTCCTTCGGAAGAATCATTCTAGGAGGCCCTGGCTGACTGGAGTGCCTGATCTCCACAGTTGCAACCTGGATAATTATTTTTATATGATCTTTTACTCTTCTATTTCACTCTCCTCCATCTCTCCTGTGATCACTTTCCAAATAAACTACCTTAATTCAATTCCTTGTCTCAGCCTCTGCTTTCAACGGAACCCAATCCGTGTTCACTAGGAGACAAGCGAGAAAGTATTCTGAAGTCCATTTTTGCTCTTAGTAAGTTAAGAAGAGTATACTTATTCTGAGCCAGGTGCGGTGGCTCATGCCTGTAATCCCAGCACTTTGGGAGGCCGAGGTGGGCAGATCACTTGAGGTCGGGAGTTTGAAACCAGCTTGGCCAACATGGTGAAAACCTGTCTCTACTAAAAATACAAAAATTAGCTGGGCGTGGTGGTGGGTACCTGTCATCCCAGCTACTCAGGAGGCTGAGCCGGAAGAATTGCTTACACTTGGGAGGAGGAGGTTGCAGTGAGCTGAGATCACACTACTGCACTCCAGTCTGGGCAGTAGAGTGAGATTCCATCTCAAAAAAAGTAAAAAGAAAAGTATACTTATTCACTCCCGATGTTTTATTTGGTTAAGTGGGGTGACGTCTATTCCCATTTTTCATCTCTCTATGCTTATTATGCTATTGCCACACTGGCCTCCTTTCTGTTTCTCAAACAAACTAGCCTATTCCTGTCTTAGGGTATGTGGAGGAGTTGTTCCTTCTGCCTGGAACACTTTCCTTCTGTGGCTTCACGTGACTGGCAGCATCTTGTCATTCAAATCTTAATTCAATTGTTACTTTCTCAAAGAAAACGTCCTTGACCACCAAAAGTAGCCACCATACACAGACTCCCAACACCCTACCATATCACTTTGATTTATTTTCTTCATAGCTGGTATAAATTTATCTGGCTAATTTGTTCAATTGTTTATTGGTCACCTATTTCCACCTCAAAACCTAAGATCCAAATACAAGTAGGTACTCAACATACATTTGCTGATCAATAAATCTCCTGGGCCAGGCATGGTGGCTTATGCCTGTAACCCCAGCACTTTGGGAGGCCAAGTGGGCAGACTGCTTCAGCCCAGGAGTTTGAGACCAGCCTGGACAACATGGCAAAACCCTGTCTCTACAAAAAATAAAAATTAAAAAATAATCTGGGGATGGCGGCACATGCCTTTGGTTCCAGCTACTGGGGAGGGAGAGATCGGAGGATCTCTTGAGCCCAGGAGGCAGAGGTTGCCATAAGCCAAGATCGTACTGCTACACCCCACCCTGGATTATAGAGCGAGACTCTGTCTCAAAAAATAATAATAATAAACCCAACAAATCTCCTTTTGCCTGTAAAGAATTGAAAATGTTTTCTCGGACTTGTGTGCAAAAATAAATACGGGTTTTTAACAGAGACTGCTCAGCTCACCAGTGTCTGGGAGAGGGCCTCTACCTCTACATATATCAAAGGGTTGAAATAGAGCATTCCAAAGAATGATCTAAGTAGAAACTTCTGAAGGAAAATCTCTATGAACATTCCATTTGCCTTATGAGGAGCTTAGAATTTAGCTCTCCACTGAATAATTTGTTTCACCTTCAGCACTTGGTTAGGCTTGCATTACCTTACTCCAACGGCTTCTTTACCTCTTTGGCAAGGTCTAAATTTGTCATAGATGTGGAATTTTTTGTTTCGTTTTTACAAAGTCTAGGTTTGTCACAGATTGGAGGAGTACAAGCAAGACAGAGTAGAGTTGGGGCTTGGCTTCAGCGCACCCCCCACTACAGCATTCCCATTGAGATGCTTACACGACGACGTCACTGCTAATAGTCCTTTTACTTAAAGAATTCCAGGAACTGGCCTTGGAGATAATCAAGGTCGCAAAGTGTTCCCCCTCAGGAAGGAATGCTGAACAACTGATTTACAGCCTGGTTGCCCTGGCCAGACCACCAGGTGGCCCATTACTGAAGAAAACCATCACAATCAGCTGCCCTGACCTGCATACCCTACCCCTCACGTGTTTTGTCCAGCCCAGCCTGCATACCCTACCCTTGATGTCAATTCTCATGCTTTGCCTACTAAAAAAGCCCTACCAGCTCTTCAGGGAATTCTTTCTCTTGTGCTGCCTCCCTTATGTCTCAGCATAAGCTCCAATGAAGCCTTGTCAGGGAAAATTCTTTTGGCCTCATGTCAATTTCTTTTGCATTGAGAGCCCAAGAACCCATGGTCAGTAACATAAGGAGACATGACGACTAAATGCAATGTGGGATCCTGGATTGGATCCCGGAACAGAAAAAGGATATTAGTAAAAAAAACTGATAAGATCTAAATAAAGATTGTCATTTCTTTAAAAAAAGAAAAAAGTAACTATGAAAAAATAGAATAGATATAACACTAAGGTAGGCCATTCCCAGAATCCAGCTTTGAAAGACTTTGCCACCTTATCACAGAATCAAAAGTGCTTCCCAGCCCAGGCGTGGTGGCTCACACCTGTAATCCCAGCACTTTGGGAGGCCAAAGTGGGCGGATCACCTGAGGTCAGGAGTTCGAGACCAGACTGGCCAATATGGCAAAACCCTGTCTCTACTAAAAATACAAAAAATTAGCTGGGCGTGGTGGCAGGCGCCTGTAATCCCAGTTACTCAGGAGGCTGAGGCAGGAGAATTGCTTGAACCCGGGAGGCAAAGGCTGCAATGAGCTGAGATTGCCCCATTGCACTCTAGCCTGGGTGACAAGAGTGAGACTCTGTCTCACACACACACACACACACACACACACACAAAACTGCTTCCCAGAGTTGAGAAACTGTCCCTGCATGAGGAAGAGGATACATGACTTTAAAGAAGTTTCCTACCCACCATCTTTTCTCTTCTCCCCTCCCTCTTTCCCCACTCTTCTCTCTCCCTCTCAAATATATTTTGAATATGTTATACCTGTATGAGTTATAAAACTCAGAAAGTACAAAAATATATGTGTAGTTCAGATTAATACTAAGTGTGGTAGGCTGAATAATGATCCTCCCTAAAATAAAATATTTATATCCTAATCCCTGGAATCTGTGAATGTTATCTTATGTGGGGAAAAAAAAGAACTTTGCAGATGTTACTAAGTTAAATATCTTGAGATGGGCATATTATCTTGGATTATCTAGGGCACTCCTAAATAAAATCACATGTATCTTTATAAGAGGAAAGCAGAAGGAGATTTAACACAGACAGAAGAGGAAAAGGCAATGTGACCATGGAGGTGGAGACTGGAGGGATGTGGCCACAAGCCAAGGTGGGCTAGCATCCACCAGAAGCTAGCAGAGGCCATTTGACTGTGAAGTGTTTAGCTAAGGTTTTTTAGTTTATTCCACTTGATGTTGATTGCATTCTTGAATGTATTGTGCTTTCTTCAAATTCGAGAAGTTTTCAGCCGTTATTTCTTCAAATATTATTTCCACCCTTTTCTCTCTCTTCTCTCCTTCTGGAACTCTTATTGTTTGCATTTTGGTGCACTTGCAGGTTTCCCACAATTCTCTAAGGCCTTTATTCTTATTTTCTTGCTGTCCCCCAGATTGGCTGTCAGTGGACTTGTCTTGAGATTTGCTGAAGATAAATCTGAGACAGGATCTTGCTCTGTCACTCAGGATGAGTGCAGTGGCACAATCATGGTCCACTGCAGCCTCGAACTCCTGGGTTTGAGTGATCCTCCTAGCTCAGCCTCCACCTCAGCCACCATGCCCGGCTAATTTTTATTTTTTTTTAGAGATGGGGTCTCTATATTGCCCAGGCTGATCTTGAACTCCTGGGCTCAAGTGATCCTCCTGCCTCGGTCTCCCAAAGTGCTGGGATTACAGGTGTGAGCTACCACACCAAGCTGCTTTTGTGTGTTCGTTTTCAAGATGAGGTCTCACTCTGTCTCCCAGGCTGGAGTGCAGTGGCACAATCATAGCTCACTGCAGCTTCAAACCCGTGGGTTCAAGTGATCCTCGTGCCTCAGCCTCCTGAGAGCTAGGACTACAGGCATATGCTACCATGCGTGGTTCATTTTTAAATTTTTTTGTAGAGATGGGGTCTTACCATGTTCCCCAGGCTGGTCTTAAACTCCTGACCTTTAGCAGTCCTCCCTCCTCAGTCTCCCAAAGCACTGGGATTACAGGTGTGAGCCACTGCACCCAGTCCCAGGTTTGGTCATTCGTTGTCAGTTTGAATCCACCATTGAGCACCTCTAGTTAATTTTTCATTTTCGTTCTTACACATTTCAACTCCAAAATTTCTATTGTGAGCTAATTTATATCCTTTATTGATATCCTCTATTGGCGAGATGTTTGTCATACTCTCCTGTAGTTCTTTTTTTTTTTTTTTTTTTTTTTTGAGATGGAGTTTCACTCTTGTTGCCCAGGCTGGAGTGCAGTGGTGTGATCTCAGCTCACCATAACCTCTGCCTTCCGGGTTCAAGCGATTCTCCTGCCTCAGCCTCCTGAATAGCTGGGATTACAGGCACGTACCACCACACCCAGCTAATTTTGTAGTTTTAGTAGAGACGGAGTTTCTCCCTGTTGGTCAGGCTGGTCTTGAACTCCCAACCTCAGGTGATCCGCTGGCCTCGGCCTCCCAAAGTGCTGGGATTACAGGCGTGAGTCCTTGTGTCCAGCCCTCTCCTTTAGTTCTTTAGACTCACTTTCCTTTAGTTCTTTGAACATATTTATAATAGCTGATTTAAAGTCTTTGTCTGCTAAGGTCAAAATCTGGATGCACCCAGGGACATTTTCTTTTTCTTTATCTTTTTCTTTTCTTTTTCTTTTTTGGAGACGAAGTCTCGTTCTTGTCACCCAGGCTGGAGTGCAATGGCGCGATCTTGGCTCACTGCAACCTCCGCCTCCTGGGTTCAAGCGATTCTCCTGCCTCAGCCTCCCGAGTAGCTGGGATTACAGGTGTCTGCCACCACGCCTGGCTAATTTTTGTATTTTTAGTAGAGACAGGGTTTCACCATGTTGGCCAGTCTGGTGTCGAACTCCTGACCTCAGGTGATCCACCCTCCTCGGCCTCCCAAAGTGCTAGGATTACAGGCGTGAGCCACCGTGACTGGCCGACATTTTCTGTTTTCTGCTTTTTGTTTTGCATATGTGGCATACCTTCCAGAGGTGGTGGTGGTGGTTGTT